CTCCCTCCTAAGGTAATCCTAAGGGGGGGAGGAGTCTAAACTGATCGAAAAAGAGCTCACGTAATTAATGGATGCCCCCAAAGATGCAAAAATTATACAACAAACTAAATATAGAAGTTATAAAGGAAACACTAATAACTACTTATAACGCAAAATTGTATGAAAAAGTTGATTCGCTTTTCTCGAAGCATTTGTATGGAGACATTTTATATGTATATAATCTAAAACTAATGTAAAATATGTGTACGCAGACATACGAGTTATGTAGATTATGCTTATTTTGAGTTTCAATAACATCTTATGAGTAATCTAGAACATGGCAATTACTGGTTTACAAAATGTTTAAACAGATGTACATATTTTTAACCAATTATTATAAAATAAAACATATCAATATATATATATATATATATATATATATATATATATATATATATCCAATAAAATTGCGCATTAAATAAAATTTTGTACAATTTTCTTATATTTTTTTTACCTCAGGGAAATTGGTTAAAGGTATGCAGTACAACTGCCGTGCTCTTGAGGGGATAGGGATTGTTAGTAATGGGGTCTAATGAATCCATTGCTAGCAATACACCCTATCAGGTCGACCTCGACGCGGTTCCCCCTGTAGTGATTAATTCTAGTGAAATTCGTCACGATAGGGTAACTGACCTGCATTCATCCTCACCTATCATCCCTCACTGGTACCCTCATCCATGGTATCCCTCAGTGTATACCGATAGCGCAGGCGGGATTACCATTTCATTATCACCCATAAAAAAAACTGCCGTAACCATAAGTACAAAGGGCATTACTTTGTATTCTAAGAAGCCCACGGTGCTGTTCTTATTTATAAGCAGCGATTATCACTTTCCCATCAGGTGGGCCGTCAAAATGATGTAAATGGGTTGTGAAGACGAAGGTACATCCTTCTTACTATAATAATAAGTGTGAAAGTGAGTTTGTTACGTCTTGACGCCTCAAATAATGGTTGTGAAATTTACTATGACGTATGTAAATTGGCTTGGAGAATTCAATTTTTTTTTATACAACTTACATTGGGAAACAAGCTAACGGCTCACCTGATGGAAAGTGGTAATCGTCGCCTATAGACATGAGCAGTAACATGGACGTAACAGAATATACTGTTTCGCTCATGATACCCCCCATGCGTTGCCATTCCTGAGGACTCTGGTGTTATTCCTCTGTACCCAGTAAATTTATGCCATATCTCACCCTTCAAACAGATACACATCCATGCAAACACAACTGCTTCACGGTGAAAACACGAATGGGACAGAGGTACCCAAGCAAAAGACTTTTGTACAAAGTCTCCCTCTGGTCATATTCCAATATGTAAAGGAAGACTAGTAATCTAATAAATAAGTGACGATTATAATTATAACATTACGGGTTTTTTGATTGTTAATAAATTACCGTGTGGTCCCAGCATAGAATGGACCACCCGTTCCTTTCCCGTGGGTGTCATAAAAAGCGACTAAAGGAGGGCGAGGGTTGCTCATCAGCGTCTCTCCTAAAACATCTCCAAAAGCTAACTGCGGTTGCCAATTTGCCTGCCAAGCGTGGCAACTACTGGCAAAACTTCCTAAGGGGAAGCTTACGTTAAGCAGTGGACAGTTAAAGGCTGTTATGATGGTAATTGTTAATAAAAATAGATAGGTCTGCTAGAGGCGAGTCTGCAAAGTAATCACACGCAATAAAAATCATTCCTATACACTTGTACCTATTTAACCCTTAAAAGCCTGATTTTTTAAATCAAATTAAAAAATATATAAGTGTATCCTTTACTGTGTTTATTAATGGAAAAAAATTATATAAAAAATCAAAACGATATTTTTATATATAATATTTATTTTGATAAAAACATTTGGTAACATGTAAACAGCCAAATATTAAAATAAAACCGATTGTAGGCGCCCAATGCGATTTATAACCCCGGTATCAAATTTGAAACTTCACGTATTTAAGGGTTAATTATGCGCCTGGTCAAGTAAACCGGACGGACGCATTATCTGTTCCGCTTTTAGTTGCTAAGATACGGATTTGATAGTACATGTATTTGCTTTTACGAGCGACGAAGGTACCGACCCCGGGTCAGGCTTTATTTAGAGACATTGTCCGCACCTACAACTTGATAATGCTCTATAATCGGCCACCGGGACCTTTACGATTTCTATTTTTATATAATACCTACCTACTTTTTCAGTGTTTATGTTTAACCTATATTTTTAAAATTAGCACTTGGTTAAAATTGGAATCCCTTTTTTGTGTACCTAAATTTGCTTGGAGTTTTTTTGCGTGATAGAATATGGAATGGAGATATCCGCAGGAGAACCAAATTGACCGAAATTTATTGCAAATTTCTAGTTTAAAAGACTCTGAATGGCAATACCTACGCGGCAATCAAACGATTAACATTTTTTATGTACATTTCCACTTATATAAAGACAATTAATATTATTCAATTATGTACACACATGTCGTCATAGTCGTAGAATACTGACGGATCTTTATATGTAATATTTGTCAGATCCGTCAGTATTCTACGACTATGGCGATGTGAGTGATCGTACTGTACAAATCCTGTATATTCTTTCATCAAATTTTTAAAATTTGTATAATTATTTTTTTTATATTTTTAATTATTTATCCTCTATTGCACATACTAATAATAAAATAAAAAAATATGACAGATCTTTTAATTGTACAAAGGCGAGCTTAACTCTAAAAGAGTTCTCTTCCAGCAACACCCAAAGTGGAAAGGAGCCTCAATATCTGCAGATAGAGCGGTGTACAGTAGTGGGACAATTAAAAAAAAAAGAATTAATTCCTTTTGCATTTATCCAATATCTGATATTAGCTAATCATACTCCGTCTATATTTATGCAATACAGCGTCTATAATTTTACATAATAATGTAGGTACATTATTATTTGTAATATTTTCGTATGTTTACCGTACGTCCGTCGTTTGAAGCCCTATTGCAGTTTCGATATGGTCATAGTGGTAATCGATTTTCTCCCAATTGACTGCTCATTGCGTATGTTAATAGCGAGTCGTGAGTACAGCAATCACGTGGCTACAAATTACCGTCGTCGAGATGTACCGTAATTGTACACCGCAAGAAATACGAGATGCGATCCAAACGCACCGGAACTTGGCATGTAGTGGAATATCGTGTAGCCATTTACTATTTGAAACTTGCGAGAAATGTCTTGCTGTACGTCAAATTTACCAGAATTGGGTACCTCTGTCCTATTCGTGTTTCAAGCGTGAAGCAGTTGTGTTTGCATGGTTGTGTTTCGGTTTGAAGGGTGGGATACGGCAGTGAATTTACAGGGTACAGAGGAATAACACCTGAGTCCTTAGGGATGGCAACGCATGGGGGTATCAGGAACGAAACAGTATACTCTGTTATGTCCATGGTACTACTCATGTATGTAGGCAACGGTTACCATTTTCCATCAGGTGGGCCGTCAGCTTGTTTGACATTCTAAGTTGCATAAAAAAATTGGTAATTTTGAAAAAATGATTTTTTTTTTACTTTTTTATGGACGATAATGGAATCCCCGCCTGTGCTATCAGTATGCGCTGGCGGAGTAGTGAAGAATAATAAATGAGTATGAAAACAGAGCAGTTGGCCTATCGTCAGGAGTTCTATAAGAATTAATCACGATGGTTTCCAGGGGGAGGTGATAGAGTAGGTATATTGCTAGCATTGCTGCGCCTAATCTCCATTATTACCAACCCTTCGCCCTTTGTAAATATGTACTTACAATCTTGTGTCTGCGACTTTCTCCACGTGATTGGAATAGATGGTATTAGTAATTTTTAAAATATATCCTGCAACTTTGTCCGCCGGGATAGGTGGTTCGGATGGAATCGTCCTATGCCAATCGTCCGTCCCAAATAGTGTCTATACTAGAATTAATTTTAAAATATTAATAAGGATTATATTTATATTTATTAGTGAAATTAGTTGTAAGAATTTATTAAAAACGCTTTCATTTTAATCCTTTACTATATTCACACACAGTCCCGAAGTGGATACGTTGATAAAATTAAATGCTAAAACACAATCAAACTAAGGACAAAGGAGATAAGCACATTAAAATTCTGCTACGCAGAAAACAACGGTTTCAATATTGATATTATATCGAAACAATGATCGAACCGCTAGTTTTTTTTTCCGGACTAACTAATTATATACATAGATACATGATGTATACATAAATGATGCTTAATTGTTCGTTGCATAATCATTAAACACAGAACACCACGCGACCTCGACATAATCTAGAATTAACTATATTTTTAGCACAGATAATACTGCTTTTAGTATTTAGCGTTATACCTATAGTTTGTTATGAGCATGCGAGATGCAGATGATAACGTGTTCGCTGTGCAGTGTTCATAAAACGGTCGAATATTCATGAAGTTTCAATTCTCCAATTAAAATACGATTTGCACACTCTTCCCGTTACGTTCAACTGTAATTTGTTCCTTTTTGCTCGGTTTCTTCTCGAGTATTTGCATCTATTATTTTTTACCGCTGTTATCAATGAAACGCTTCTTTGGTTATAGCGAATTGACATTAAAACTGAAATCTTCGAAGGCGATCAATTTCGAGTCCTCGATTAACGTCTCCAATGAGATGTAAAAAAATGTTCCTTTGTAGTTCAGAATTCTTTTTTTATGCAACTTAGAATGACAAATAAAAGCTATTTATTTAAAAATAATTTCTGTCTCGTAGAGGAATACATGCAAGACGTACTTATAATTTTTTTGTGTACAATTTCACTGCCATATCTCACTCTTCAAACCGAAATACAGCCATGCAAGAACAGATGCTTTATGGCGCATAGAGGCGGGACAGATTTACCTCTGCACATAACTTTTATACAGATTTCGTCTGAGAATTACTCTTGCTGTATACGTATTCTAGAAGATATATAATGTGTTATATGGTGTCTTTGCAGAAGGAGTCGCGTACCGACGTGCAGTTCCACCTGGCCGCGCTGCGAGGTGACTGCGATCGGCTGCGGCAACTGCTCGACACCGGCAAGGTGCACATCGACTCCAGGGATAGGGTGAGGTTTTAAATTATATAGATACACTGTCGCCATCCCCTTGATGGGGTAGATGATCGATGTGGCGAAGAATATCTAGGAAGACTTGACCCTGATTGAACTGGGACATACAGTAGGGAAGACGAAAACTGTCTCCATACAAAAGTTATGACAAAAACAGCTCAAATAGAATCAGCTAGAATAGGCCACCTCTTCCTTACCCGTGGGTGTCGTAAGAGGCGACTAAGAGAGCGCGAGGGATTGGCAGCCGTGTCCCTCTTAAAACATCTCTAAAGCCTAACTGCAGTTGCCATCCGCCTGCCAAGCGTGTCAACTGCTGGCAAAACCCCCCCAATGGAGAAGCTTATGTTCATTAGTGCACAGTTAAAGTCTGATATGACGATGATGATGTGAAAGAATGTATCAGTAAATAAATTTAGTAGGTAAATTAGGTAGGTAAATTTTACCAGAGGGAGACTGTGCAAAAGTCGATTGCTTGGGTACCTCTGTCCCATTCGTGTTTCAACCGTAAAACAGTTGTGTTTTCATGGCTGTGTTTCGGTTTGAAGGGTGGGATATGACGTGAATTAACTGGGTACAGAGGAATAACACCGGAGTCCTTAGGAATGGTAACGCATGGGGGGTATCATGGGCGAAACAGTATACTCTGTTGTGTCCATGGTACTGCTCATGTCTATAGGCGGTTACCACTTTTCATCAAGTGGTCCGTCAGCTTGTTTGCCATTCTAAGTTGTATAAAAAATGTACATTGTAAAATAAAATTACATAGGTAAAAAGATATATATACCGTAAAGATACAATTATTTTATACGAATATATTTTTAAGAACGGGGTAAACAGGGAATAATGATGCTTATCTTTACTTATCACTTTGATTTATCTAGTTCTCTGACAAATTTAAGCAGAAATTTTATATTTTGCTCTGTAGACAATGTATCATGCCACTTGAAATGGCAAACAATAATCAAGTTAACCCTTCTTTGCATAATGATGGAGATTTCCATCATAACATTGAATACCCAGAAATTATATAAAAGAACAAGATCACTTTAAGTTGATCGTGTCTTGGATACCTTTTTAATGTCCATTGCCGAAAAAAAACATAGCTATCAAATTTATTTTTTAACCATTGATATTTTAATTTTGAACCTTGATTTATTTGACCAATAAAAAAAATCATGCAAAAAAAGGGTTAAGGGGAAAGGATTGTTAATAACAGGAATCCAAATTTCCATTGCTAGCAATAGCCTTATCAGGTCGGTCTTCAAGCGGAGTACATTTTGGAAACCATCCTGGTTAATTCCTAGTGAATTCGCCACGATGGGTTAACTGACCTGGTTTTATCCTTACTTTTTCTTCTATCCACACTAGCGCGTCGCCAGCGTATACTTATACGAGTAGCGCAGGCAAGGATTACTATTATTATTATTAAAAAAAAAAAACAATAAACAAGTAGCCACGAGTGAATCTATGCAGCCATAAGTCTTAAATAAAGAGTTGTGCAAGGGGCACCGGTAACGGTATGCAATCAAGTCAGGAGCCCATTGTGGCATATTGTTATATAAGCGGTTACGTGGCGCGCTGGATCGCGGGAACTATCAATCATATTAGTACAACAAAGCGCTGCATTACGGACTTACAGCATTAACTTTTATTGGACGCAAGTGACGACCGACGGCGGTCTGTTACTTTTATTTATTTATATATATATAGCAGGGGTTCCCAAGCTTATTTTGTCTACTGCCCACTTTGAGAATAAATTATTTTTATTTCACCTACTTAAAAACCACTATTACTTCAAGATCAACAAATCACCCCCCAAGTCTCTAAACAATGTTCCCATTTTTTTTCTGGGTCTCTTACCGCCCTCCTTTAGGCCTGCAGCGCCCACAAGGGGGCGTTATCGCCCATTTTGGGAAAGTCTGATTTATAGGATCACAATTGAAGTCGCTTTTTTTGGAGAACACAATCTTTAATTATGAAGTTGGTAAGTGTATTTTTATAAAATCAATTTATCTCCATCCAGTATATAAATATTTCCCAAAGATTGCCTGTTTTTTTAATGAATCATGATGGAATGGTTAACTTCCCAGCGCTAACGATATACGCTAGCATTACACCAGACAGAGAGATAATAGGTGAGGCATGACAGCATATCAGTTAGCCCATTATTATGAATTTAACGTGAATTCACCACGATGGTTTCCGAAGGGAACCGCGTGGAGGTCGACCTGAAAGTCTATATTGTTAGCAATGGGGCTGTTAGGCCTCATTACTCACAACTTTCTTCCCTCCTAAGATTGACTGTTAGAGGATGCTAACAGCGTTAAACACACCTCAAGTACCACGTATTTTTTTGTTAATACAGTTTAAATAAATAAATCGGAATCTCCGCTAGCGCTTATGACTTACGTATATATCGCATCGTGTTATTAGTAAACTTATAAAAAATAGAAATTGCCAGAAAGTGGGGCATGCGTTTTATTTCAGTACAAAAGCTCGTGGTTGTACGTACAGTGTACGAAAGTGAGTAAGCAGTTAACTAGACGAGTGTGTACACAATGAAGCCATTGTATTTAACTCCTACGGTATTTTTATGCGACCTTCAATACAGAGCGAGTCTCAATTTGTCTGTGTATTTTGTACTTGCTTTTACCCGCGACTGCATCTGGAATATATTTATTAACCGCAATTCTATCAGCCTTTAACTGTCCACTGCTGAATATAATCCTCCCTTTTGGGGGGTTTTGCCAGTAGTTGCCACGCTTGGCAGGCGAATTGGCAATCGCAATTAGGATTTGGAAATGTTTTAAGAGGGACGCTGTTGCCCATCCCTCGCCCTCCCTTAGTTGCATGTTACGACACCCATTAAAAAGGAAGGGGCCTGTTCTATGCCGGGACCACACGGCTTAATAACTGAGATAAATGTATCTAAATTTTATCATTTAATATACCATATAGTACGTGTATACCAAATTTCATAGTGACGGAGGGAAAGGGATTGTTAGTAATGGAGACTGAGAATCCCATTGCTAGCAATATACCCAACCAGGTCGACCTCCTCGCGGTTACCCCTGGAAACTATCATGGTTAATTCCTGATGATTTCATCATGATGGGCTAACTAGCCTGTTTTTATTCTCATCTATCACCCTTCACTGGTGCCCCGCCAGCGTATCCCGTTAGCGCAGGCGGGGTTACTATACCATTTTCACCCATAAAAAAAAAAATTCATAGTGATTCACACACGGCACAACCAAAGCCGTTAAGGCGCTATAAGGTAACAAATAAACAAACTCAATTTCACATTTATAATATTAGTAAGGATGTTACGTGATATTTATGTCAATTGCGAACCGATTTTGATAATTATTTTTGCTACCAAAAGGGTTTGTTTCCATCTTGGTCTCGTAATAATTTTATCACAATTGAAGCACTATTTTTTATCTGTACAAATAAAAGCTACAGCTTCATTTGGATAATCTATACGATCCTACTGTCTAAATTAAAATCTACTGTCTCTTGTGTCTATAAAACATCCCATTGTCCATCCCATCCCGTTTTGTGTAGACAGATATCACGTACTATAATAACTACATGGGACAGATAAAAGAAACACTAGGCGTCATATCGTATAGGGAGGTCAAGGATATGGCCTGGGATAGAGCTGGCTGGAAGAAGATGCATGAATTAGTTGCACCGACAAGAGGAAAGTCTTAAATGAAAAAAAAACAAGATATCACGTCACAGCGCTTAATCTAGGGTTTTTATTATATTGACCAGGGATACGTTGCTCAACTCAGAAACCGGGTCAAATGGGATATCGTCATATCAGTTCCTTATTTATAGCCCACTAAAAGCTTAACAATCGCTTTGTTTCGTTACTCCAGAATTACAGATAAGAGGAAAAGTAGAGCGTTCCTTTTTCCCCCTTCCACTATCAAACGGGCTTCGGTGGGCCTTTAGGTGCTGTTGCGTTATCACTAAGAGTTATATTCACTTCGCATTTAACGTTTATATATAGGGGCGAAAGGGATTATTAGCAATGGAGTTTGACACCGATTGCTAGCAAAATCCCCTATTAGGTCGACCTCTACGTGGTTCCCCTAGAAACCATCGTGAACAATTCTTGTTGAATTCGTCACGATGGGCTAACTGACTTGCTTCATCCTCACCTATCATCCTTCACTGGTGTTCCGTCTGTATAAACTGTTAACGCGGGTGAGGTTATATATATATATATATATATATATATATAGCAGAAATATATCCTACATGTAATATACAGTTTTGGGACGCCCGCTAGTCATAAAGATATAAATCTAAAACAAATAAGTACCCACGATAATCTATTTCTGCTTCAGTTAAAGTTGCGGAATGTGTTTCTACTTTTTCATGTTTTGACATCACCTATTTTGAACAAATAACTATTATATCTGTATCCACGCCTTAATTCATGGCTGGAATAAAAAGCAGTCTACGTCCTTCTCCTCTCTTCTCTATGCCAAATATTTTTTTATTATGTTAAATTTCATGTTAGTTGATTAAATCAATAAGATGCCAAGAGAAAACAGACAACTCTCACTGTTCGATTTGTAGTATTAGTAAGGATTCTGAATATCTAGAGCTAATATTATATAGGTTCACCTCAAATGACTAATTCAAACAACAGCGTGATAATAGAGGCAAACACTTTTGTATTGGAGATGTATTTATTAGAATTTATGTGTAAATACGGAAGGTTATTGACATCAAATCGATCGGTATCAAAGCCCGATAACGGATTTCTTAGAGAAAGAAGAGTGATCCTTGATGAATTTCAGTTCCACGAATACAATCCATCGAAGTATATTTTCAAATCTTCAGTTTACGAAAATATACATTTCGATTTTTCCCAGCAGTATTTATAACAGTAGCTATATTAACCTTAGTTTAGGATCCACTAACGTCCCATTGTTGGGCATTTGTCTCTTCCTATAAAATACAGATCTTCAAGAAACGGTACCTACAAACTTTGACCGAACTCGTGCTGGTTAATCAGGTAATGAAAGGCACGTGAAACTATTATTGTCAATATCAAAAACAATCGAAATATTGGCTGATCAAGACTTAAATCTGATCCTCAAAAGAAAGTGTCGGATTCTCTAAAAATAACACCAAGGAACCATTAAAGTACTTATTTTTACCATGTTTAGACGACCAGCGGTAAGTAGCAACATAAGGCGTTAACTCGTTCAATTTGTCAGTCGGCCGTTTACGGCGTGTGTTTACGTCTAGTCGTAAAACTTGTTGATTGAGACATACGTCTATAGTTATTTATGCATTAAGCAATTACTTCCTACTATTTATACTTATTTGTTTATTTATTTATTACATCCACTGGGTGAGCTTTACAGTCTTCTAATACGCTCACCCAGGAAAGCACGCGGAAAGCATAACATATAAAAAGAAATAGAAAAAGCTGAAAATCTGTGTTTTGTTCCTTGAACAATGTTACACGCTGAGCTTCGACCTTTTTGTATTGCTGCAGATCACACATAATAACACAATTTTATAAATCTTATGTTGTTTTATGTATTATCTATTCTTATGTACATGTTGTGTGTGATTAGTAACAAACAAATAAACGATCTATCTATCTATCTATCTATAAATATTACACAAAAATAATATAAAAAATTTAACTCAAACAAAAAACGTTTGAACACAAATACTCTGTGGTCACTCGACGAAAATCCAGCAAGTTGGAGGCAAATACATCCAATTGCGGATACTGGCTCAAAATATCATTGAGTAGTTTCAATGCAAGAGATAGGGGAGCTTGCTTAGCCAACTCTGTTCTTCGTAATGACCCCTCCAGCTTTTTACTTCAATGTGTATGATATGGTCATACATAAAGACGTGGTGCTCTGTTTGTGTTTGTGAGGAAACGTCTTCAGCATAGGTCTGGTCAGAGGATTATTTTTTTTACAACACAGGGGGTAAATGAGCATGCGGCTCACCTGATGGTAAGTGACTACCGCCGCCCATAATCGCCCACAACACCAACGGTATTGCAGGTGTGCTGCCCGCCTTTTAAAAAGGAATATGCTCTTTTCTTAAAGATTATGGTATTATGTACCTTGGTCGAAATCTTTTTGCTCACACATTTTTGATTCTTTGGATTTTGGAGAGGCATGCCATGTTATCATAAACCATCGATACCTGTCTTATAATATCTTGCACTACTTCTACGAAACTTTCTTTTTTCTTCCTGTTGAAAATTAAATGGTGACCCATTCTGCGCTATTGGTTTACCCGAGCGGGGCAACAATAAAGTATGATAAATGGGGAGAAACAAGTCAATTGGCTCATCGTGACGAATTCAACCGGAAATAACCGGTTTAAGAGTTAGGAGGAAGAAGAATGAAGAAGTAATGCTAGCTTTACTAATCATCACTTCCTTCTACCACATTCTATTTGCGTATCTGATTTTTATATCACAGTATTGCGACAATCCTAAAGATTCAGGATAATAGGAAATCGTGACATATATGGGGGAAGGATTGTTAGTAATGGGGTCAAGCTCCATTACTAGCAATATACCCTGTCAGGTCAAATGGATCGAAGTGGTTGAATTCGTAAGGATAGGCTAACTGACCTGTTTTCGTCCTTAACTGTCATCTCTCACTGGTGGCCCACTAGTGTATCATATCAATAGCGCGGGTGGGGTGTCCATACCATTATCATCCATTAAATAAAACCGTGGCGTATATTAACATCAAATAATTTAAATTTAATTATCTCAGCTACAGACCAATCATACGAGTAGTATCTACTGATTTCCCGTAAAGCTTGTTGAGGCTTGTGATAATAACAAGGTCCGTAATGTACTTAGTTTATGTAGTCGAGGGATGGGTAGCAGCATCTTTCTTAAAACATCACCAAAACCCAACTGCGGCTGCCAATCCGCCTGCCAAACGCGAAAACTATTAGCAAAGCTCCAAAGGGAGGTGCTATATTTAGCAGTGGACAGTTTTTTTTTAATGGATGATGAATGGAATGATAAACCCGCCTGCGCTAACGGTATACGCTGGCGGGGCACCAGTGAGGGGTGATAGGTGAATAATGAAAAAAGGCAGGTGACTGACCTGCCTTTTTGCCCGTCATGATGAATACACCTGGAACTCAGCACGATGGTTTCTAGGGGGAACCGCGCGGAGGTCGACCTGACAGGGTATATTGCTAGCAATGGGTCTGGTAGCCCGCATTACTAACGATCCTTCCCCCCGCAGTGGACAGTTGATATGATCCTGTATATGTATAAACAATACAATAGATCCTTTAGAAACCTCTAAAGTTCCCGTCTATCTGATTTATGGCAGCTGCTCACATTGTTCATGATATATGTAGTGAGTAGGGATTCCTTGAGGTATTCGTGTGCAAATCAAGATTGTAACGCTAAAACATTGTACAATGTTGTCTCCGTAGTACTTCTGTTATATTTATAACTAGTCTCTACCCGCGACATCGAATGCGTGATCGTATGTTGATTGGACAGGAGGAAAAATAGCCCATATCTGTCTCTATCCTTTCTTTTCCATTCATGGAATTTGGTTGTGCTGATAAAGTACCAAGAGGTAATAAACTTACTTCCAAATTTGTAATATTCATAATGAAGTAAGGTTTCTGCTGCCAAATTGTTTGTTCATATGCTATGTCCCTGTTTGAAGTTGTGGGGTATCGCAGTTAAACATAAGTGCGACAAGAAGTCCCATGTTTTTTTAATGGGTGATAATGGTATGGTAACCCCGTCTGCGCTATTGGTATACACTGGCGGGGCACCAGTGAGGGATGACAGATGAAGATGAAAGTAGGTCAGTTAGCCCATCCTGACGAATTAAACTAGAATTAGTCACGATGGTTTCCAGGGGGAACCACGTGGAGGTCGGCTATAACACGCGAAATAATGCCACTAATAATGAAATAATTTATGGACTGCTGTAGTCACTTACTATCAGACTGACTATATGCTTAATTTATTCTCTTCTGTAATAAAAAATTGTTTATTTGCTAAGCTATATCGGTTAAATTATTACGTACTTAAGTGATGGAAAATAATTGATAAGTGTAATTCCTCAATTGTTGCTATCTTGCCATTAGGCGTGCAGTATGCTTCCTTAGCATCCCTGTTTTATAAAGGTGTTGCTTGCCCCCAGGACGGCACAACACCCCTGATCCTGTCAGCGGCGATGGGCCACACGGACTGCGTTCGCGAGCTGCTGGAGCAAGGCGCCGACCCTGCCTGCTGCAGAACGGTATGAACCCAATACATACGCACCTTGTCGCTTACTTTTGCTGTAAAGCTTATTAGAATGAGTTAATGATCTGAAAATTATACTACGAGTATTGGAGTACAATTTGGACGGAATTTGATAAAGTATTAGCAACATGCCGCCGTTTGCGCCCGGCATAGAATGGGCCACCCCTTCCTTACCCGTGGGTGTCGTAAGAGGCGACTAAAGAGGGCGAGGGATGGGTAGCAGCGTCCCTTTTAAAACATCAGCAAAGCCTAACTGCGGTTGCCAAGCATGGCAACTACTGGCAAAACTCCATTTATGGGGAAGGCTAATTTAGCAGTGGATAGTTAAGGGCTGAAATAATTAAAAAAAAATTCACAAAATACTTAAGTATGGCTCACGCGTATAATTAGGCGCTTTCTGCGGGTCAGCCATTGGACGACAACTGTCACGTCAGGGTCGTTCATCACGTCACCGTGAGAACACCAATTATGGAGCAGAGAGAAACTGTTCTCTCATTTTTTCGATCTTTCAATTTTGAAATTATTCAAAAAGTTGCTAACAAGCTTCAATATAATACAGTATATTTTCACCAGATTTCAAAAAAGTAGATTTTCAATTAGGTTTCGTAAAGATCGTTGTGTGGCGTACACGAGTAAATCGCTAAGGTGGCTGCTTTATGTCAGACAGGAACGAGCGCGTTGTTCTTCGCGGCGCAGGGCGGCTTCCTCGACATCGCGAAGCTGCTGCTCGACGCAGGCGCAGCCATCGACGCGCCCAGCACGGTACGGACACCAACAACTGTTTATTCTATTTGGTGTTATTTCTCTTTTTAATTTTTGAACCGCTTCCGAGAACGAGGTTCTATTCGTATGATTTTTCTTTGTTATGACAGAATTACATAAAATTCAAATATTTTTTTATCAACTGATAGACTTGTTAACAAGCACTTATAAATCGTGATTTTTCGTTATAGAGTATAGGAGTGGGACAAGGTGGAAGTCGTCGGTTGGTTGCTATTCTAAGTATAAAAACAAATGGGAAATGTGCGTCAAACGCACATATAACGCACAATGTTACAAGATCGTGTAACTGCAATGGCATAAGTAACACTGATTGCCTAAAATATCTGGGTGTTCAAATTGATGAAAACCTATCATTCAGGTCACATATTGTAAATTTAGCATCTCGAGTCAGGAAATTAATTTATGTGTTTAAACTCATACGTCACAGTGCCAACAAGGAGGTTCTCAGATTAATATATTTTGCAATGTGTCAGTCTATTGTGCAATACTGTATTAGAGTGTGGGGTGGAGCGGCAAAAACGCACTTGATTCTGCTGGAAAGAGCTCAAAGATCTGTACTCAAAGTAATGCTTAAAAAACCTGTTCGATTTCCTACAACAGACTTATATAGATTGTCTGCTGTGCTAACTGTTCGTCAGCTATACATTCTACAAGTTTTTAAATCGTGTCATAAAAATTCACTTTGTCATCTTGACCACCCAAAACTATTAACAAAAAGAATTTATAGAATTCGTGTTCCTTGTATTAAAACCACATTTGCAAGTCGCTTACCACGTTTTCTTCATCCTTACATATACAATAAAATACTTAAATGTTGCCAAATAAAGAATAATACTTCATCACAGGCTAATAGACTTGTAAAAAATTATTTACTTTCATTAAATTATGAGGAAACTGAGAATTTCATGAAACCCTGATCCTGACTGTGTACATATATATACGCACGTACCTAATTATGCACGAATGCACAAGCATGCACGCACGCACTCACTCACTCATACACAACATACACACACACACACACACACACACACACACACACACACACACACACACACACACACACACACACACACGCACGCACGCACGCACGCACACACGCACACACACACACACACACACACACACACACACACACACACACACGCACACGCACACGCACACGCACACGCACACTCACGCACGCACACACGTACTCACCATTTTACATAGTTTTCCTTATTTATTTATTTATTTTAGTTTTTGGTAAATAAAGTGTACTAATAAATAGGTAATCGCACTCATAGTCCCCAAGATACAGGTCTGGCCTAGTTTGGGGACTGATGGTAATGCAGATATTTCCTCGTTGTATATAAATTGTAAAATTTTAATATTATTTTTTTATTTTTATATTGATATTTAAAGTACTTAATAAAAAATTAAATTAACAAATTAAATGAGATATATTTTCAGCCGACTTTAAAAAAGAAGGTCTCAATTCGGTCGTATTTTCTTTTACGTTTGTTACCTCATAACTCCGTCATTTGTAAACGGATCTGGATTTTTTTGTCTAAAAAGATATACTTACAGATTAGTCCCGTAGAAATTTTATCAAAGTCGACTCATTAGTTTAGTTTTTAAATGTTTTTTTTTTATACAACTTAGTATGGCAAACAAGCTGACGGCCCACCTGATGGAAAGTGGTGACCGTCGCCTATAGATATGAGCAGCATCATAAACATAACAGAAACTATTTTTTTTTTAAACGGATGATAATGGAATGGTAGCCCCACCTGCGCTAACGGTATACGATGACGGGGCACCAGTGAGAGGATGATAGGATGATAGGTGAGAATGAAAAGATTGGTCAGTTAGCCCATCGTGATGAATATATCTGGAGATTAGCACGATGATTTCCAGAGGGAACCACATTGAGGTCGTCCTGACAGGGTATACTGCTAGCAATGGCACTGGTAGTCCGGATTACTAACAATCCTTTCCCCCCAGAATATACCATTTAATTTACTGTAAGAGATATTCAGTTTTTATATAATTCAGAAAGCACATCTATTTATTGCTTTGTTAATATATGATTCTGTATTATAACTTCAGGACGGCGGGACACCACTGTTCGTAGCGTGCCAGTGTGGGCACCTGTCGGTCGCTGAGGAGCTCATACAGAGAGGGGCCAATGTCAATTCCTGTATGAAGGTACGTTGTATTTGTTCTCTGAGGGCCTACCATGAAATATTTTCCGAAATTTCGGGGACGAACGAAACAGAAATTTGATGTTAAAATTACATAATACATGCCGTTTAAAATTATTAAAAATGTTTAAATATCGTTCCTCTGGACTATTAGGATAGGATTTATAATAAACGAAATATTAAGCTTCATTTACTGGGCCGATTTCGGTACGAACAAAAACACGAAATTTAGCCCGAAATTTCGGAATTTCATTTCATGGTGACCACCCAGATTTATTTTTATATAATGCAAATTAAAACATTATTAGTTTTTAGTTTTTGATTGTACGTAATTGTTATCAATTCTGCCAAATTTCGTCATTAGTTGCTCCAAAGATTTTTTAATATTTCCGTATAATAGATTCAATGTTGCCGTGTCTTTTAGAGCAGGCCATGTCCTGTAAAACTAACCATAATTTGAAGTCTAAAGGGTTGAGGTCTGGGTTAGATGAGGGCCAGTCTTCAGCTCTTATAAAGTCCGGAACATTGGTTTCAAGCCAGGCTTGGGTAGTTCGTGCCTTGTGACCAGGTGCAGAGTTCTGCTGAAAAGTCCACGGTATATTTTTAAAAAGTATATTGCGGAGAGGTTTCAGAACACGATCCAAGACTGTATCTTGATACACTTTGGCTGAAGTTTTCACTCCTTTTTCACAAAATTGTAGTTATGTGACTCCTTGATAAGACACGCTCCACCAAACCATCACTGACACAGGATGATGATCACGTTATACCTTTCCAACTTCTTGAGTAGCTTCTTTAGAACTGTAAGCGTACAATTTATCATTTTGCTTATTGTAGGGTTCTTCAATCGTGAAAAGTCTTTCATCGGTAAAGTGGATATTTCTGTGCCTTTCATCTGCGTATCGCGATAGGAGGCGTTTTGATCGATCCACTCTCTTTATTTGTAAAGATTGATTTAGGACATGTCTTGTATATCGACGATAAGTACCGAGCTTCAGGTCTTGATTTATAATATGCAACAGAGTCCTAGCGAGAATCTTCATTTCTCGCGATAAGACTTTTTGCTTCCTAAAGGGGTTTCGATAAATTTTGGTTTTAACAGCATTATCGGCCTTTGTAGTTCTAACAGCACGCGGCCGCCCCGATCTTCTCTGGTCTTCGACAGAGGAAGTGTTGTTGTATCTGTTGATAGTACGATATACAAATATACGGCTGATACCAATGGTATGGTATGGTATCGATGGTGCGAAATTGAAAGTTTTTAAAATAATAAACGTGTTCCAAATTCAAAATAATTAAGCAGTTGAAAAAAGTTTTTATGTAACAATATTTCTGGCCAGACTAGTTAGATGTTAAACGGGTATGTCTTGCTTAATTATCATTATTTCGAGTTCACTTGGATCGGGCTGCGTCTGTAGTGACGTACCAGTGATGTATGTCGGTCGCAGGACGGCGCGACGCCGCTGTTTATCGCGGCGCAGAACGGGCACGCGACCGTCTGCGAGCTTCTGGTGCGGTGCGGAGCTCGCGTGGACGCGGCGCGGGCGGACCGCGCGACGCCGCTGTGGATCGCGGCGCAGTGCGGCCACGACCACGTGGCGCGCACGCTGCTGGCCGCCGGCGCCGCCGTCGACCACGTGCGACAGGTAGCTACACCGCGTACACACAGTACACACTGTACACACTGTACACACCGCGCGGCGCAGTGCGGCCACGACCACGTGGCGCGCACGCTGCTGGCCGCCGGCGCCGCCGTCGACCACGTGCGACAGGTAGCTACACCGCGTACACACAGTACACACTGTACACACTGTACACACCGCGCGGCGCAGTGCGGCCACGACCACGTGGCGCGCACGCTGCTGGCCGCCGGCGCCGCCGTCGACCACGTGCGACAGGTAGCTACACCGCGTACACACAGTACACACTGTACACACCGCGCGGCGCAGTGCGGCCACGACCACGTGGCGCGCACGCTGCTGGCCGCCGGCGCCGCCGTCGACCACGTGCGACAGGTAGCTACACCGCGTACACACAGTACACACTGTACACACTGTACACACCGCGCGGCGCAGTGCGGCCACGACCACGTGGCGCGCACGCTGCTGGCCGCCGGCGCCGCCGTCGACCACGTGCGACAGGTAGCTACACCGCGTACACACAGTACACACTGTACACACTGTACACACCGCGCGGCGCAGTGCGGCCACGACCACGTGGCGCGCACGCTGCTGGCCGCCGGCGCCGCCGTCGACCACGTGCGACAGGTAGCTACACCGCGTACACACAGTACACACTGTACACACTGTACACACCGCGCGGCGCAGTGCGGCCACGACCACGTGGCGCGCACGCTGCTGGCCGCCGGCGCCGCCGTCGACCACGTGCGACAGGTAGCTACACCGCGTACACACAGTACACACTGTACACACCGCGCGGCGCAGTGCGGCCACGACCACGTGGCGCGCACGCTGCTGGCCGCCGGCGCCGCCGTCGACCACGTGCGACAGGTAGCTACACCGCGTACACACAGTACACACTGTACACACTGTACACACCGCGCGGCGCAGTGCGGCCACGACCACGTGGCGCGCACGCTGCTGGCCGCCGGCGCCGCCGTCGACCACGTGCGACAGGTAGCTACACCGCGTACACACAGTACACACTGTACACACCGCGCGGCGCAGTGCGGCCACGACCACGTGGCGCGCACGCTGCTGGCCGCCGGCGCCGCCGTCGACCACGTGCGACAGGTAGCTACACCGCGTACACACAGTACACACTGTACACACTGTACACACCGCGCGGCGCAGTGCGGCCACGACCACGTGGCGCGCACGCTGCTGGCCGCCGGCGCCGCCGTCGACCACGTGCGACAGGTAGCTACACCGCGTACACACAGTACACACTGTACACACTGTACACACCGCGCGGCGCAGTGCGGCCACGACCACGTGGCGCGCACGCTGCTGGCCGCCGGCGCCGCCGTCGACCACGTGCGACAGGTAGCTACACCGCGTACACACAGTACACACTGTACACACTGTACACACCGCGCGGCGCAGTGCGGCCACGACCACGTGGCGCGCACGCTGCTGGCCGCCGGCGCCGCCGTCGACCACGTGCGACAGGTAGCTACACCGCGTACACACAGTACACACTGTACACACTGTACACACCGCGCGGCGCAGTGCGGCCACGACCACGTGGCGCGCACGCTGCTGGCCGCCGGCGCCGCCGTCGACCACGTGCGACAGGTAGCTACACCGCGTACACACAGTACACACTGTACACACTGTACACACCGCGCGGCGCAGTGCGGCCACGACCACGTGGCGCGCACGCTGCTGGCCGCCGGCGCCGCCGTCGACCACGTGCGACAGGTAGCTACACCGCGTACACACAGTACACACTGTACACACTGTACACACCGCGCGGCGCAGTGCGGCCACGACCACGTGGCGCGCACGCTGCTGGCCGCCGGCGCCGCCGTCGACCACGTGCGACAGGTAGCTACACCGCGTACACACAGTACACACTGTACACACTGTACACACCGCGCGGCGCAGTGCGGCCACGACCACGTGGCGCGCACGCTGCTGGCCGCCGGCGCCGCCGTCGACCACGTGCGACAGGTAGCTACACCGCGTACACACAGTACACACTGTACACACTGTACACACCGCGCGGCGCAGTGCGGCCACGACCACGTGGCGCGCACGCTGCTGGCCGCCGGCGCCGCCGTCGACCACGTGCGACAGGTAGCTACACCGCGTACACACAGTACACACTGTACACACTGTACACACCGCGCGGCGCAGTGCGGCCACGACCACGTGGCGCGCACGCTGCTGGCCGCCGGCGCCGCCGTCGACCACGTGCGACAGGTAGCTACACCGCGTACACACAGTACACACTGTACACACTGTACACACCGCGCGGCGCAGTGCGGCCACGACCACGTGGCGCGCACGCTGCTGGCCGCCGGCGCCGCCGTCGACCACGTGCGACAGGTAGCTACACCGCGTACACACAGTACACACTGTACACACTGTACACACCGCGCGGCGCAGTGCGGCCACGACCACGTGGCGCGCACGCTGCTGGCCGCCGGCGCCGCCGTCGACCACGTGCGACAGGTAGCTACACCGCGTACACACAGTACACACTGTACACACCGCGCGGCGCAGTGCGGCCACGACCACGTGGCGCGCACGCTGCTGGCCGCCGGCGCCGCCGTCGACCACGTGCGACAGGTAGCTACACCGCGTACACACAGTACACACTGTACACACTGTACACACCGCGCGGCGCAGTGCGGCCACGACCACGTGGCGCGCGCGCATGTAAACAAAACTTAGACGGATATTTGTTACTTTTTTACGCAAAAACTACTGAACGAATTAAATTTGGTACACGATTTATATCATAATTTAGTACATATACATATAAATAGATATAAATGTACAATGCTCTGTACAATCATTAACATGATATCAATATTCATGAATTGAAACAAATGCAATGATATACTGTAATGAAACTTTAGTGAGAGCGTATTCGTACGTTGCAGGACGGCGCGACGCCGCTGTTCAAGGCGGCGCACAAGGGCCACGCCGCGGTCGTGGTTGAATTGCTCAAGTATAATCCCAACTTGGGCATACTACCTGTGAGTATACATAAAATGTTATATAAATGAATGAGTATGAATGAGTATACTTTATTTGCATTATACAATATAGGAAATAAACAAGACAATTTACATACACAACGATGCAATTGTATAAGTACAGTAAGGCGGTCTTATTGCTGAGAGTAATCTTTTCAAGACAACCTTAAGGTAATGGATTAATTGTTGTACAAGTAAATATAATAGTGCCTTATATAATTAAAAAGCATCTTTTGCAAATTAAAAATATATAAAAGTTATATACATATATACACACACATATACATACATATACACGTACATATAAATGTATAAAAAGTGAGAATGTGTCGATGTACTCCCGGCGGTCAGAACGGTGAGTCGGCGCTGCACGGCGCGGCGATGTTCGGGCAGCTGGCGTGCGTGCGCGCGCTGGCGGCGGCGGGCGGCGCGGCCGCGCTGGCGGCGCGCGACGCGGCGGGCCGCACGCCGCTCGCCGCCGCGCGCCTCCAGCGCCGCCGCGACGTCGTCGCCTACCTCGAGCGGCACCACGCCGCCGCCGCCGCCGCCGCCGCCGCCGCCGCCGCCGCCGCCGACCGCTCCTAGCGACCGCAGCCCTCACCACTCTAACGGTAATAATGTAAGAAAGACTCTGTTTTCCGCACTTAGCCTCTCATTTGGGCCGTTGTGCGTCACTCGAACGGTAATCCGAACATTGACTCGCTCACATTTCGTTTTAAAGCCGACTAGAGACCGCTCCTAGCGACCGCAGCCCTCACCACTCATACGGTAATCCGAACATTGACTCGCTCACATTTCGTTTTAAAGCCGACTAGAGACCGCTCCTAGCGACCGCAGCCCTCACCACTCAAACGGTAATAATGTAAGAAAGACTGTTTTCCGCACTTAGCCTCTCATTTGGGCCGTTGTGCGTCACTCGAACGGTAATCCGAACGTTGACTCGCTCACATTTCGTTTTAAAGCCGACTAGAGACCGCTCCTAGCGACCGCAGCCCTCACCACTCAAACGGTAATCCGAACGTTGACTCGCTCACATTTCGTTTTAAAGCCGACTAGAGACCGCTCCTGGCGACCGCAGCCCTCGCCACTCATACGGTAATCCGAACATTGACTCGCTCACATTTCGTTTTAAAGCCGACTACACCGAGCGCCCGCAGTGTATAGGGTCGTAGATAACTGGGGGGCCTACCATGAAATTAAAATTCCGATGTTTCGATTTCAATTTCGTGTTTTTGTTCACACCTAAATCGGGCCAGTAAATGGAGCTTAACATTTCGTTCGTCACAAATCCTACCAATAAAAGTGCCAAGGAATAATAATTTCATATTTTTAAACAGTATTATGTAATTTTGACATTAGTGTTTCGTTCGGATCCGAAATTTCGGAAAACATTTCATGGTGGGCCCTCAGATTATGTAATAATCGTATATTTTTACGTCAAGTCCTTTACGAGATAGTCTGGGAAAACAGAGGACCTAACATGATATATTTTTCCAAATTTTGAGGACGAACAAAATAGAAATTTGATGCTAAAATTCCAACGTACCGTTTAAAATTATTAAAAATGTTAAAATAACGTTCCTCTGGACTATTAGGATAGGATTTATGAACAAAATGTTAAGCTTCATTTACTGGGTCGATTTCGGTACGAACAAAAACACGAAATTGAACCCGAAAATTCGGAATTTCATTTCGTGGTAGACCACCCGATTTTAATCTTGTAAAATATTATAATTTACTGTAGAACGCTCCAGTAACTCTATGTATTACAACTATGCGTTTAGTATTCTATTTTTTTTTTTAGTTTTTAAACAAAACCTATTTATTTCAAATTGTAAATGAATTATTTATTAAACTACCCATGTTATTATATTTAATATAAAAACAAAATCGAATTCAATAAAAACACACTTTTGCATTATTATTTATTTATTTAGCAATGTATAAATTAATAGAAAACTTTGTATCAAATATTTTTTTATTGAATTCAAACAAACATGTCCATTTTTTAAATAATATAATATTTTTCACAGTATGTTTGGTACAATTGTAAAAATTTTTTTTAACTAAATGATAATATTACCATGTATTTATTTCGAAATTAAAGTTTAATACTTACGTAGAAAATACTTGACTAAAAACAACTTTATGTCAACTACAAAATTCGAGTTGTTCTTACCACGTTTTTTACCTTACCACTTGACTAAACTCCCATCTGATCAAATCAAAATATTTATTTTGCAAAAAAAAAAGACTTCATGTATCAATTTGTAATTATTTTATTTACTTAACTAAAACGGTACAATAGGAGTGAGAATCTTAAATTTTAACTCATGTTGTAATCTCAAATTTATTGTTAAATATTATAAAAAATCTCATGGATTAAGTACATACTCGGTAATTGTAAAGCTTAGAAATCTCACGGGTGATATACCTACAGAAAACTACAACTATTTTGTGTATTATGTACAATTGTATGTACTATTGCTAGCCATACGTCTATTAGCTTTACCCACCAGTCTCTGAAATGAATATTTTCCAATATTTTCTATGAACCAAATTTAATATTTATAAAAAATACAGGTTACTGTGATAACAGAATATAAAAATGCCCAATCCGACGAGGGTATACAAAAATAGTTTTTTTTATTTTTTTTATTGGTGAAACGAATGAATGAAATAGTAACCCCACCGGTGTTATCGGTATACACCGGCGGGGCACCAGTGAAGGATGATAGATGAGGATAAAGCAGGTCAGTTAGCCCATCGTGACGAATTCAACGAGAATTGTTCACGATGGTTTCCAGGGGGAACCACGTGGAGGTTGACTTGATAGGGGCATATTGCATGGGGCTGTCAAACTCCATTGCTAACAATCCCTTCCCCCACAAAAATATAGTTTAGTTTTTGTTTCTCCTACATCATTCGGATTTAGTTTTAAAATTTGAAATTGGATTATTTTTTTTATTTTATGGACCATGCATGAATCTGTATTTATTCCAATCTTGGTAGTAAATAAAAGAGACGTCATTTCAGTAACTGGTCGTTAATCACTCGCCTTACGCATAATACCTCACGTGACTAACCATAGCTGTAGTGTTACTAATAAACGCGGTAGTGGTCTGGAGGTGAGAGTATAACTCCCGGCCATCTCTCGGTGCAAAATGCCTTATTTTCGACGTTAACTCCCAATATCGATCCATCCAGGATAGATTTTAATACAATCGCTGTTGAAGAATGATTTATTGAGAGTAGTGTTTGCTGGAAATTATCTTTGGTGGAAATCTGACCATCCTCAGCAACAAGGATCAAAGATACCAGTTAAATATTACAGCTAGTTTTTGTTTTTATTTTTGTTGGGTGAAAGTGGTATGGTAACCCCGCCTGCGCTAACGGTATACACTGGCGGAGCACCAGTGAAGGGTGATAGATGAGAATGAAAACAGGCCATCATGATGAATTCGTCAGGAATTAACCATGATAGTTTCCAGGGGGAACCGCGAGGAGCTCGACCTGGTTGGATATATTGCTAGCAATGGGATTCTCAGCGTCCATTACTAACAATCCCTTTCTCCCCTTTGTTTTATATTATATCCACTTCGCCTACATGCCACTACTGTTCTCAATACTATAATTTTATAATCTAAGTTCATTATCGGTGCTGTATAGTGAATAGGCTAAAGCATAATACATTATTGTTTTAAGCTAGTCGCAATGTACTTTGATCGTTTGCTTTTGTACTGTCGATTGGTTTATTAATCGAACATTTTGTTTCATATTCTAATTATTATATTTATTTATAAGTTCATTTAAGTATTTACAATGTTAAAATTTTTACTAATTCACAACATTTCTAAACATTGTATTTATGTTCAATGAAGTAAAAAGATTGTCTGTTTAGTACAATACTAAAGTACTTAAACTATCGTCATAGTCGTAGAATACTGACGGATCTAACCTATATTACATATAAAGATCCGTCAGTATTCTACGACTGTGACGATATATGAAGCTTAAAAATGGAGATTGTAAATAAAAACAATGGCAGCAATTTCGACCTTAAAAATTATATTTTGTCGTATCAATGTCGCCGCCTATTAATAAACGCAATGGAAGACAGTTTTTTATAATTGCTGTATTAACTAAGAATATTCTAACACTGCTCTTGGGTCTGGAGATATGAGATAGAAGACATACGGTAAGTGATATCAAGTCCAAATCAGTATTAAACCTGCAATCTCCATTTCATAGCTTCTCTGTCAAATACATTTAAAAAAAAAAGCAATATCGTAATCAAATGACAGGCTGTATGGTTTATGTCCACATGAAATCATCCAATACAACTTTATTTTATTATATCTAAATATAATTTTAACAACCGGTTTAGCTTACGTGTAATTTAGTTGAGAAAGCTCGACTAGTTTCAGGACCATTTCAAGACCCATAGTCTTGAGCGGCTGTGACGCGAGCTGTAGCTTTCTCGGTTAAATTACACACAAGTTAAACCGGTCGTTATTATATTTGCGTTTTACATATAGATATATTTTGATATTTTTGCGTTTTACATATTGTCAGATACCTGGCTTCTTAAATAACATTGCTACATTTTATACTGCCATGTTCCACACCTTATTTTTTTTTTTTTTAATTAAATAAGTATTTATCAATTGTTTATGCTCTAAGGGTTAGTATAGACTATTAAAAATATATTTTTCATACAACCTTTTCGCGGTAACAATGTAGATCCATACCGAAGGGTACATAACTAGTAATTACTTACAAATAAGTACACAACTATTGTATTTTTATTAGACTACAAACGATTTACCCTCTCCCAGCTGGTAGACAAGTGTAACGAATGCATACCAAATACGAGAATCCACATGAATAAATAAGAACGAGACGCAGTACACACTGTCTCGTTTTTTTGTGTGCGATAACACAAAAACAAATCGTCATAGTCGTAGAATACCGACGGATCTGACGAATATTACATATAAAGATCCGTCAGTATTCTACGACTATGACGAGATATGTATGAAAGAGCAGGGACTATTCCTTTATCTTTTCAATAATTCGTTTACAGCTTATCTAAAATGATTTTATTCAAATCATCCGATTGATACACTCATTGCAGATATGAAATGGCAACTGATATTGCAGATAGCAAAAAATGGCAACTTATTTAAATTTTAACACTGTATTTCCTTTTACTTCTCCCAGTCCATTTTATCTTCTATTGACATATTTTTTTTTTATAATTAATAATTGTTAAACTTAAATTAACAAGATGAAATTTTGTTTTACAAGTGTATGAGCGAGGATATGAAGACGTCAAGTGTCAATGTATGTTGTATATTAAATAAAATGAGGTTGAATATGTATGTACTAGATGTATAAGGTACAGTATTTTGTTGATTTTTTATTTATGTTAATTATATTATTATAGTTGTTTTAAATTATACAATGTTTTATTATAAAATAAAACAAATCCTTCTAAAGTTATTAGTAAGCTTTGAATATTTTCAAAGCAGATGGAGCTTTAAAACATTGCATCTCCTCAATAGGGTAAAACAGTGGTGCTGGTGCAGCCTTTTAATTTCTTTTTTTTTTTATATGTTAAAAAGTCCTTTTTTGACTTGAAATAATTGTCATATTTTGTTTGTACTCTTACTTCTTTTTGCTTTTTTTTATATATTATTTTATTTTTTTAATCCAAATACAAAATATGCAAAATATTCAAAATTTTCATACCAATTTACAGTTCTTTCGCCCACAATGACTATGTAAATTTATTGCACCTAGTTATTTCAAGACAATGCATAAGCGTTCTACATAGATACGTCTGTGTCAACTAATGTTTCTGCCAATCAGCTGTGCTTGCATGTCTGTTTCGGCAGTGAAATCACACAGTATACTGATACTTTAGTCCTTAGAAATAGGAATGCATGAAGGTTATCGTGGGCGTCACAGTGTATTTTGTGATGTTCTACAGATTGTCCTATTGGTTGTCGTTCTAAATTGCGTAAAAAGATACAGAGACTATAACACGAGGTGTTGTGAGAGCATGTCTGCAGCGGCGGTAGCGAGGGTGGCTGCTGACGGCCGCAGCGACGGCAGCGACTCAGTGCAGCAGCAGAACAGCGCCAGAGGATCGGAGTACACTTTCTCAGAGATGTCGGCCGGCACCAGGGGGCGGGTGCCTGGAATATAACAATTGTACATAAAAAGATACTGTATGTGGTGACTACAATACCATTTCTAGGATGTTGTGTAAATTCAAATTTATCTGTATTCAAATAGGCTTATTCACAAGCACTTTTAAATCGTCATTTTAATGTATCTACTGCAAAGTTTGAAATATTGTTACCCGCTTAAAAGAACCTACAAGAAACTCAATTCTAAAAAGCATCAGCGCAGGATCGACTGACACCATGCACATCTGTCATTCAAATAATCGTTTAGTGTGTCTTTGTTCAATAAGTAGTTCCTAATAACAGTTTTAAATTTATTAATAGGTGGATCCAAAATTTCGAAAATTTCGAAATACGAAATTCTTCAATGTTTTACTTATAATTTTTTTTTATATACAACTTAGAATGGCAAACAAGCTGACTGTCCACCTGATGGAAAGTGGTAACCGTCGCCTATAGACACGAGCAGTACCATGGACATAACAGAGTATACTGTTACGCCCATGATACCCCCCTATGCGTTGCCATTCCTGAGGACTCAGATGTTATTCCACTGTACCCAGTACATTCACACTATATCCCACCCTTCAAACCGAAACACAGCAATGCAAACACAACTGCTTCACGGTAAAAACACGAATGGGACAGAGGTACCCAAGCAATCTACTTTGATTATGATCGTGTTGATTTGAGTATGATTGTGTTGGCAAAGACAGATATAGTAAATAATAATATAGTTTGAAACTGACCATATTTCTCAGAGAAGAAATCAACCTCCATACTAGCTGTGCTGTCATCCAGGTCTATCACACTCTCGTCGAGTGTATCATCATCTATTTGGGAATGTGGTGGCATCAGTGACATCATCTCCCACAGCGTCAGACCAAATGGCCAAATGTCAGTTTTGTTTGATATCTCCCCACCGTTGATCACTTCTGGAGCGCTCCATGCTTCTGTGCCTGTAATATTAATAAAATATAATAACTTTTATAATTTTTAATTATATTGAAATATTTATTGCAGATGGTAGTATAGCAAATTTTTTTTTTGATGGGTGAAAATGGTATGCTAATCTCCGCCTGCGCTAACGGGACACGCTGGCGGAGCACCAGTGAGGGGTAATAGATGAGAATGAAAACAGGCCAATTAGCCCATCATGATGAATTCATTAGGAATTAACCATGATAGTTTCCAGAGGGAACCGCGAGGCCGACCTGGTTGGATATATTGCTAGTAATGGGATTCTCAGTCTCCATTACTAACAATCCCTTCCCCCTGGTAGTATAACAATTACTACATGTGGTTCTGGGATAGAATGGATCATCCCTTCCTTTCCCATGGTTGTTATAAGAGTCGACTAAGGGAATTTAATGGTCAAGGGATCAGCAGCAGTGTCCCTTTTAAAACATCACCAAATCCTAACTGTGGTTGCCAACTTGCCTTCCAAGTGTAGCAACTACTGGTTACCTCCTTTATGAAGGATGCTTATGTTCAGCAGTGGACAGTTAACCGCTAGTAAGATGATGATGATGATGAAGATGATAGTAATTAGTATTAGAATATGAAGTTTCCCTTTTTTATAAAAAATAAAACTTATAAATATATATTTTAAATATTAAAGCATTGTTATTATTGTTTCATTCCTATGACAACTTCATTTGTGCAGTGATGGCGAACCAATTTAAAAAATGAACCATTCTGAATTGGATTATTTATTAATTAATTTATTTTTGTGGTACAACAACAGATTACAAACAAAACTTTTAACAATAGAATACAACAATAGCATTATAAGTTTGCAGTCCAATTATAGTTGTACTCAACATTCACAGAGACCAAACAGTATACGTTGATTTTAAATACAAAAAAGAATTAATGATAAAAACTACATACAAAACAAGAATCAAAAACAAAACTACAAAACTATGCTTAAAAACTATTAGGTTATCAATGTATGTAAAATGCTTCGATATGATGAACATTTCTGATAGAATATGATTGACATATTCTATCAGAAATGTTCGATCCGATTTACAATCAATGTCATTGTACAATTTGCACATTCTGTATATTGGATTATTATATGACACATTATTGTTTGCGAATGGCATAGAAAAAAAAAAGTTTAGTTGTATGAGAAGAGTGTTCAGGGTGATTAGGGTTTGGGTGTTCAGAATTGTGCCCTCAGTTGCCACTTTCTTCCTCATAAAACAGGTTTTCATACCTCGTGGACCAGGTGATTGATGCAATAGTGTAACAATTATTTATAATATCCCAAGGATAGAGTAAACAATGAACAATATACCAGTGAATGCTAATAATAAAAGTATTAACACATCGCTGACCAGGAATCATGGTTGAAATCTTTGGAATTAAACTTAAATTGTAATAAAAATTGAATTACAAAGTAATTGTTTAGTCATGAACCGTTGTAGTCCAAATGGTGTTGCCTGTCATGGTAAAAGGACATACCTACACGCTAGTGCAATGACTTTTTTTGTTCTTTCTCATTAACTCGTCACTGGTCAGCAACATTTGGATATGAAATGATGAGTAAACTCATTACCGGCCAGCAGTGTTAAATATGTTACTATACTAAGCCATTCAGGTAGCATGGATATAGCAGCAGTACTATAAAAAAAAAACATAAGACACTCACCAAAATAAACAGCCTTGCCAGCATTCTCCTTGTCAAACACACCATTTTCGTCCAGTGGCAAAGTGACGCCGAAGTCACACAGCTTACAAATAACAAAATCTCCATTCACCAGGATGTTGTATGACTTCATATCACCATGTAGCAGCTGCATCTTGGTGTGCAAGTAGTCCAGTGCACTTGCAATGTCCGAAGCGACCTGTAATTGTTACCACATTTAGGTAGCAGGCAGACAATTTTTTTTTTAATAATGACTTATTCTTAAGTCATTATTAAAAAAAAAAATTGTCTGCAAGATGAGTTTTAGGTTAAATTTTCTATTGTGAATTTAGAGTTTTTATGAAAAGAAACTAATGGTTTATCTAGTGTTAGGATTAATGTGAATTATTTTCATGTGGTCTTTTTCATTTAAAAACATAAATAAAAGTTTAATAATTTTTGATTAATAAAGAAAAGAAAGAGATTGTTACAATTTACTATTCCTTTCTTTTCTTTTTAATTATGGCAATAAAAATGAATGTGTATAATTATAGAAATAGAAAATTTTTTTCTTGATATAACTTAGAATGGCAAACAAGCTGACGGCCCACCTGATGGAAAGTGGTAACCATCGCTTATAGACATGAGCAGTACCATGGACATAACAGAGTATACTGTTTCGCCCATGATACCCTCCATGCATTGCCATTCCTGAGGAGAATCATATTTCAATAATTACTAAGTAATTTTAAGTGTTGTGTGTGTGAATGTGGTTTAAATCAGCACATTCTATGACACACCATTAAAAGAAATGTTTATAACCCATAAACGGCTGAATGGCTTTGAGTGAAATTAGATAATATAGACAAAGAACGACTTGATTAACACATAAGTACATTTTAACCTAATCCGTACGAATAAAGTGAGTGTTATTATATATTGCCTTAAAGTTACCTTCAATATTTGTTTTGGCGTGAATGGATCTCCACCATTTTCTACACGTTTCTCAATCATATCGCCCAGAGACACATCACAAGCCTCCATACCCAAGTACAAGGTTTTGGCCTTACTGAATGCGCGGAAACCGACAATGTTTGGATGGGACATGCGTTGTAACAGCTCTGCCTCGACTTTAAGACGCTCCGAGTACACTTTGTTCTGTTTCACGCGTTTGTTCAGCATTTTTAATGCCCACGGTGATCGGATTTGACCTGCACGAGGCGATCTTACTAACTGCATAACCGATACTCCTGGTGAAAACAACAGCGAAATTAATACCTAAACATAGCTAATAAAACATTAGGCAAAATTGTGCTTCAAAGGAAACTAAAAGTTCTGGTTACCTGTACCATATCCTAGTCGATTCAGAAACGGCGATGGCGGTATTGTTATTTTGTCATCATTACTTTTATTTTTCCTTACAGGAGTCTGGAACTCAGACATGATTTTCACTTCACAATGGATACCGTTCGAAATTACTTACTAATTCTACTTGGTGATTACAATTTTATTTTGTATTAACTCTTTCTTCTTATTTTCATACAGAAATATTTAAATTATTTGCCTAGTATAAATAATATGTTCAGTAATAAGTTCGGTAAACTTTCAATTGAAAATTTGAACTACGTTCGTTTACAGAAGTGACAGCTTCCCCACTTTGTTTTGAATTTAAAAGTGTGTGGTGTTCGTTTTAGTGTTGCTAACTCAGATTAAGTTTTCTAGTTAAACCAAATTGAAAAAGGTGTGGTTTAAAAAATTAGAAATTTACACTAAATATGTAGTTATTATTATTAAATAACATTAATATTACTGCAATATGATTAACCTATTAAATAAAATAATTACTTATACCTTTTTGAAGTTCACTAAAAATCACAAAAAATATATTTTTACAAACAAACAAACACCAAAAATAAACGAAAATGTTTCTTAATATAAATGAAGATATTGTTTTTCATTTCGAAGTTAATTCTTTTGAGCCATTTTTGGTTATCCTTCTGTACTTTTGTTTTTGCGTAACTTTGAATAAGAAAGAAAGAAAAACAGTGTACCTTATGGAAAGCGATCATCATCATTTATAGATATGAACAGCATCATGGTTCTTCTCATGCATTCTTAGGAAATACTTCTTAGTGTCATGCCTCCGTATCCTATAATTTCACCCCCATATATCATGTTTCAAATATAATCATACTACATTACATACCCTTCATAACAAAATTAATTATTAAGTAATAAGTAAATAAAACATTTTCTATTATTTTAGAGAAATTTCTCATTTTGACGCATGTAAATGGGGTTCATATATGGAGCCATAAATTAAATGCAGAGAAATAAAGCTAGATAAGCTTTTACAGAACTAATTTGGCAATACTGAATTTTCGTACTTCCGTACCATAGATTAAGAAATTCTCTTTCAATGTTATGTTCCATTTTATTTCTAATATTTGTTTTTACTGAGTGGTCTTTAGATATTTTATATTTTACACTTACCACAGTTTTACAATTATAAATTGTACAAATCCATTATTCTGAAGTCAGATAAATAGATTACCAGAGGGAAACTTTGTACAAAAGTCGATTGCTTGGGTACCTCTGTCCCATTCGTGTTTCTACCGTGAAGCAGTTGTGTTTGCATGGCTGTGTTTCGGTTTGAAGGGTGGAATATGGCGTGAATTTACTGGGTACGGAGGAATAAAACCTAAGTCCTCAGGAATGGCAACGTATGGGGGGTATCATGGGCGAAACAGTATACTCTGTTATGTCCATGGTACTGCTCATGTCTATAGGCGACGGTTACCACTTTCCATCAGGTGGGCCGTCAGCTTGTTGGCCATTCTAAGTTGTATAAAAAAAAAGATTACAATCAATAATAAAATTAAATTCAACAAAAAAAAAAAATAACTTCAATTATGACAAAACCAGTTATTTTGTTTTAAAACTAAACGAATTTTTATAAATTTTATATGAGATCAATCTATACGTATTTTGTATTTTACAAATTGGTTAACTACTGACGGAGTTATGAAGTAACAAACTTAAAAAATACAACCGATTTCAGAATTTCCTTCTTTTTGAAGTGGGTTGAATTAAAATAATAATCACGGATATCTAATGGGCAGCTTTTCTTGTTTATAAATACAACGACAAGCTCGGTGGTGTAACGGTGTAGCGGTTTAATACATTGCTTCACGTTCCGATGGTCGCAGATTCCACTCAGCATAATATGGTCATTAATACCTATTATACTTACAAATGAAATGAATTTATTGGCCAAAAATATTATTAAAATTAAATTAGTAATGTGTTAAGTATACACTTAAGAAAATTAAATAAATCACAATTAAATATCTACAAGTTGTTTAGTTAGCGAAAAGTTAATTAGTTAGCGACTAGATGGCGCTGTGTGTGTATTTATGTCTAATTTTATGTGTAATTTATTTATGACTAGTGAGTGATGCGCCCGGGCTTCGCATAGATATCTTATATAGATAGAAAGATAAGTTAGTATTATATATATACAATACATATATATGTACAAGTATGTTAAAACCCACCAACCTAGGTTTCTATGCCCAGGTAACTCAGGTATTACCATGTATTAGGTAAGTGCCTACCCATCACATATTTTTTGCTAAATGCAAACAAGTCACGCAGTTTGCTGCATATCTTAAAACCGCGATACACATAGTAAGTGCCTATGGAACAATCTCTAAGGTGTTATTTGGCGGAAGTTTATATCAATGGTTAGTTGATTAGAAATAAACAAAATAAACAAAATGAACAAAGCATCACCATAGCTTCCCGAAGCGTCGCAATTGTCTGTCAATTTTTTAAAATAATTTAATCATTTTCAATGATACTGATCAGTAAAGAATTTCGATAGTCGTTCGATTGGGTAACCCGCTTACATGGCTGTTTCTGTTTGAAAAAAGTACAAAGTTTGAAAAAAATGAGGTATGGGAATGAAATTACAGAGTAGGCATAGAGGTTTCATCGACGTGGCACCGGTGAAGGATAACAGGTGAAAATGAAAAGTCTGGTCAATTAGCTCATCGTGATGAATTCAGTTGGAATTCAGCACGGTGGTTTCCATATGGGACCACGTGGAGGTCGACCTGACAGGGTATATTGCTAGCAATGGAACTGGTAGTCCGCATTACTAACATTTCCTTCCGTTAGTTCTAAATCGATTTTAAAAATACTTTAATCATGTAAAAGGATATATTTACAGATTGGTTCCATAGAAATTTTATCAAAATAGGCTCAATAGTTTAGTTTTTGATTCAAAATAACTGATTTTCTCACGATTGCTGACGGTTTTTTTTCTTTAACACGGTTTTTAATATATAATTAATTATAGTTCAAAGAATGTATATGGCTGTGTGTATAAAATAGTATACTCCGGTATAAAATAGGGCACTCCTTCTTTTCCTATGGGTGTTGTAAAGAGGCGACTGAGGACGAGGGATGGGCAGCAGCGTCCCTTTCAAAACGTCTCTAAAAGCCTAACTGTGGTTGCTAACCTACCTGCCAAGCGTGACAACTACTGGTGAAATTCCCCTTATGAGAAAGGCTTATGTTCAGCAATGGACAGTTAACGACGGAAATAATAATAAAAATAATAATAATAAAATATATATTTTGCTTGACTTTCGGTTTTATAACATTGTTTTGTTTGTTACGACGCGTTACAGAGTCATACAGAGTAATAGATACGTTGACTGTTCGCTTGTTGGTTAATTCATGTGAAAGAGCACAGATACGGAATTCAAATAAATGACGCAACTGCTTCCCGAGTATGTACCATGGTGACATCTATCACTCTAACGTTATTTTTGAGTTTTATGTATATATATATATACATAAAACTCAAAAATAGGTTACCAGATCGGGAAAAAAGGTTCGTTTTAGGGACAGACTTGTCCTGTGAGACACTCGTGTTTATTTTTACACAAATTTATGACCACCATGGTTTCCACTGGAGACCGCGCGGTGATAGATCATTTATTTTAATGAGCGATAGTTGAATGGTAGTTTCGCTTGTGTTAAAAGTATACGCTGGTGAAGCACCAGTGAGGGAAAACAGGTGAGGATGAAAGGCGAAGAAGGTTGACCGATCATGACGTATTTATTCACTTTACAGAATTAAGCGTGATGGTTTGGTGAGGTGTCAAGGGGGACTGTGAGAAGTTTGATGTTACAATGGCGTTACCGCGAAGCGTGACAGCTATTGGCAAATCTAATCCAAGGGAGAGCCTTATGTTCAGCAGTGGATAGTAACAGCTTGTATGATGTTGATGAATGGGCTTACTGAACTCCATTACTAACAATCCCTTCTACACCCCTCCGGGCCAGTCTATTTTTTCATAATAGAATAGTAAGCCCGCCTGCGTTAACGGTATACACTGGCGGGGCACCACTGAGAGATAATAGGTGAGAATGAAAAGGCAGGTTAGTTAGCCCGTCGTGATGAATACACCTAGAATTCAGCATGGTTTCCAGGTGGTACCACGACCTGACAGGGTATATTGCTAGCAATGGCTCATATTACTAACAATTCCTCCCCCCCCCCCCCCCGGGTTAGCAATATACCCTAATAGTCTATTAGGGTATATTGCTAGTAATGAGGGCATTTGCCTTCTGTGCTAACAATGCCTTCTTACCAATTTTTACTAGTAAATTACCATTGTTTATTGTATTGTTTATTTATTTAAACTTACTTCAATGCACATTTAGATATATTATGAGATATATTAAGAGAAACGGGTTGATAATAAAAATGCTTAAATATTGTATTTCTCTTTTAACACGTCTTCATCGGTAGGAAAACAAAAACTAATAATGACAAAATTCTAAAAACATAAGAACAATAGAAATATAAAAATATGACAGACGGAATATGATGGTCAGTAATACGCCCCCCCCCCCCCACCCCCGCGGAAAAAGTAAGGCTCACAGGACAAGTCTGTCCCTAAAACGAACCTTTTTTCCCGATCTGGTAACCTAACATATATATATATATATATATATATATATATATATATATATATATATATATATATATATATATATATATATATATATATATATATATATATATATATATATATATATATATATATATCAACTATCGCTCATTAAAATAAATGATCTATCACCGCGCGGTCTCCAGTGGAAACCATGGTGGTCATAAATTTGTAAAAATAAACACGAGTGTCAATTATCGTTATTAATTCCTAGTGAATTCGTTACGATGAGCCAATTGACCTGATTTCCTCATCAATCATTCTGTAAAAGGCCGGCAGTACACTTGCAATTTCTCTGAGGTTACGGGTGCCCATAGGCATTGATGATTATGAGGAGATGAGCCAAATGCTCGTTTACTCGTAATGTTATAAAAAAGAAATCTCTCACGGGTACCCCACTGTTGTATACCGATAACACAGTCGGGGTGGGGGGAAAGGGATTGTTAGTAATGGAGACTGAGAATCCCATTGCTAGCAAAATACCCAACCAGGTCGAGCTCCTCGCGGTTCTCCCTGGAAACTATCATGGTTAATTCCTGATGAATTCATCATGATGTGCTAACTGGCCTGTTTTCATTCTCATCAATCACCCTTCTCTGGTGCTCCGCCAGCGTATCCCGTTAGCGCAGGTGGGGTTACCATACTATTTTCACCCATAAAAAAACACAATTGGGGTTATAATTCCATTTTATAGAACACTATTAAAGATAGAATCCTTTTAGATGTGTCATGTTGTCCGGTGTTGTGCTCGTGTTGTAACTATATCGCCTATTTTCGTCTGATTTTTTAAAAGTTTTTATTATTTTTTGTCTCCCCTCATTCACTATTTTTATCATATTTCCAAGGTTTATAAAAAAAATCCCTTTTAAGGGATATGTCTGCCACTGTACTCATTCTTTACTTAAGAACTCTGTACTATATCATTTAAAATTCGACTGTCCAATAAAGTGTTAAAAAAGAAAACAAAATAAACAAATAAAGATTTGGAAAGTGTAATTAGAAAAAAAAAAAGAACAATAATTTCATTATTTTATGTGCTTATTTTAATTTATACTGAAAATGGGAGGGACTTTCTGTTCAGAATTGGGAGAAGTTAGATTAATAATAGACAGATTATTTAGATATAGAATTTTGTGTAGAAATTAGATAAGATTTAGAATTTATCTATCACAGATAATGTAAACAGAATTGACTAGCACACTTGCAACGCAGTATACCTATCTATGTACATCGAAGTGCGTTGACTTCATTCAATCTAATTACAACTCTGTCACCTGAGTAATACGTCATTATTTAATTACAAATTAGTAGAGTGTCTATCCTTTACAATTAAAATTAAAGGAAAAGTTTTTAATTTCCTAAAATGTGCTAAAAACAGGAATCCTTTGTAAAATTAAAAAGAAAGAAATATAAAGAAGTATAAAGCTTTCTAGAAATATAAAGCTGCAATCTAAGAACTTAAACTGCAGCTGGACTGGCTTACACTGGAATTACATAGGAGTGGTAAAATTGTCAATTCATAGAAAGCTAGTGTATAGAAAATGTTATACGGGTGTATAATCCTACCAAATTCAGATACAACCTGCTTGTATACTTTCTACATAAACTGTGTCGAATATATAATCTAGTAATGTAAAATTTGTCATTGACAAATAATTGACATATCAAACATTTTCTATACACTAGTCTGCTATGAATTGAGAAAAATGACAACTAATGGTGTATCTTTCGTCCTGTTTTTACTAATTATATTTGCATAAGAAGAAAGGAGATAACCATAGGATTTACAGTTTTAATCATTCCTTCTATGTAATTCCTTGTTCTGGAGCAAGCACGCTTCCATACTTAAAGAACTCTGTATTTTTTTGAGTGTTAGCACTTTGCTCTCTATCACATTTTATAGATACAAATAAACGTTATATCACTTAATTAAGAGTTTGGAAAAACAAAAAATCCTTACAATCCTCGAAAAAAATAAGACTTATGGCAAATCTAACAATGGCATACCTTTACAGATAGTTGCACTTAGCTCACAGTTGTGCCTCGGACCATAAAACAATTTGCACACAATAATAAAAGACGTTTAAATGTATTTATACTAAATGACAGCTCATTTGTACAGAGGTTGCATTTATAATAGTCTATTCCCATAGGATTGAAGAGTTTAATCGTTGTATATATTTATTCATATTTTTAAAATTAATTGCTCTAATGTATATACTTTAGGGGGAAAGGGATTGTTAGTATATATAAGGGTATAATTTTCCCATAACTATCAATACACCCTATTAGGTCGACCTCCACACGGTTCCCCCTGGAACCTATCGTGATCATTTCCAGTGTAATTCGTCATGACGGGCTAACAAACCTGCTTTCATCCTCACCTATCACCCCTCACTGGTGCCCCGCCGGCGTAAACCGATAGCGCGGGCGGGATTACCATTTCATTATCATCTATTGAAAAAAAATTTATATACTTAGATACATTACATAGATAGTTTACAAACCCTAAAACTGTTAACAATCACTGGCCTTTCCCCTTTATGTGGCAATGAAATTACAGAGTACAGAGATATAAAATCTTAGACCTTAGGAATGGCAACGCATGAAGGGTATTATTGACGATACGGGATACTCTGTTATATCCATGATACTGTTCATGTCTATAGGCGACGGTTCAGATGTAAAAAACAGCAACTTCAACGGTAACTCATTGTAAAATAAATTAGGAACACGGGAGTAAACTTTTTCTACTTTCTTTTTTTTATCACACTTTCAGACTACTTAGGATGTCGTCTATTTAACTAGCTCCCTCTGCTAGACACTTTATCCTCATCTATCATCTTCACTTCGTCCACATCTATCATCACCTCTCTGGTTACTACCAGAGAATGATGTTAGATCAATTAGCTCAATCAATTGGACAATTGCAGTGATTTATCTTCTATACTTATAATAAATCTGTAGAGAGGTCAATTCTGTACATGAAATATATTTCCAAAATAACTATCAGGCGGTGATTAGTGATCGACACTGATGCCAAAAATGCAATCAGTAAAATTTTTGTCTATCTGTCTGTATGTTCGTTATAGAAACAAAAACTACTCGACGGATTTTAACAAAACTTGGTACAATTATTCTTCATACTCCTGGGCAGGTTAAAGTATACTTTTCATCACGCTACGATCAATAGGAGCAGAGCAGTGAAGGAAAATGTTGGGTAAACGAGAGAAGTTACTCCATTTTTAAGCTTCCGTCGCGTGTGCAGCCTTAATGGCCACTTTTAAAAATGTAAAAATATAAACCCGTGCGAAGCCGGGACGGGCCGCTAGTCATTAATATAAAATTTCCGATAGGAATGGAAAACATAATTTCCAAATAATGATACATTAAACAAAATTCAATGACGGACGTATGATTTATATATTCAGGTAGGTACATATCTTTAATCGCGTGCGCATGATATGCAATAAAATCGGAACTGAAGACCTCGGAAGGAAACGAGGAGTCCTTAAGTTTCTCAATGGGAGGAAATTCGCGGTACGTAGTATCGAACGACGAACAGCGACGCCAGTGACGGCATGCAAGTGGCTGGTTTAGCTGCATGGCATAGTGTAGCGGGCAGTAATGAAGTGGCTATCGCGAACTGCGCGCGCGCACCCCGGACGATGCGCCTGCGCCGCTACCATGGCGCACCGCAACACTTTCAGGTGAGCGCATCTCATTAAAAAATGCGTGATACAGCGTTGCCAGATTGGATATTTTTTACGTATTTTTGAATAAGATTTATTTGTGTACGCAAAGTTTTGGAAATATGAAATTGGCGGAGAAAAATAACATGGGTGTGGAGAATATTTTTTTTATTTATTTTTTTATGCAATTTTTTTTTATTTTGGCGTTATAAGTAGCAAATTACATATTACATTATATAGTTTTATAATAGAATATACTACTAAAGGTGATGAAGACTGCATCGGTTTTTTTTTCGTTTTGAACGTAGTGGTTACATGCTAAAATGTAGTGAAAACTGACACATGTTTATGATTGGGTAAAAGTGAATAAAAAAAACGTATAAATTTGAAAAAAGAAATTGATTTTTAGGTAAAAATCCAGGTTGTCTGTAAGAGATTGCTTCTAGCGATAAGACCGCCTTTTGTATATGCAAATTCTGTATAAATACTCCTTGTGGCTTGTATCTTTTGTGCTATATAAAGAGTTTATTATTATTATTAAAAATAAATGATTGCATCTGGCAACACAGTGCGCCCGGCACTGTACGTTACGCGCGCTTATTTAGTAGGCCATTGTTTTGCTCATCGACAATTGTTGCGACGAATCAAGCGTACTAAAAGTACTCGTGTAAACTTCTGTCAGAGTCGCACTTGAAAAAATTGGCTGGCTTGTCAGTATGGCGCGATCTGATCTCTGTTTTTATCTTGTCAACGTTTCAATTCACCAGAAACCTGTCAGAAATTAAATTAAATTCGAAATTGAATTTTGAAATATATAAAAGACTCATCAACCGATGTATTTAAATATAAAATTAAAAAGTCTTAATTGATTAATGCTAATACAATGTATGTGAATTATTGAATGATAAAATTTATATTTATTTTATTTTATTCATTAGGCGCACATAACAGAAGTTTACAAATACAAACTTCAATTATAACATGCAAGTACATTAATGTATTGATCAGGTAAACTTGCCACAACACGTGCACACAGTGTGATCCAATAATAAATGCGACTGCAACAAAGCCATTCGGTTGCAACTATTAGTGAAAAAAAAAAATTAAACATAAAAATAAACATAAACATAAAGAAAGTTAAATAAAAAACAAAAAAAAAAAAATAAAGAAATTTCTAAATATTACATTATTTTATACAATTGTCAGCGATATTGATTATAACCAAGTCCAAATATGTCAAGGTCATTTTGATGAGCGTCATTATATGATCTACACATATTGGCTATGGGGTTATTTAAAGAAATATTATTTCTATAAAGAGGATTTCTATTTGAAGACGAATTCGGCCATTCGTATTAATTAATTCTAAAACTTGGAGACAATCCACAATTGAGTTTATAATCTTATATAGGTACAGTAAATCTTTTATTTTTCTTCTTTTAGTTAAAGATAATATTTTGAAATATTTTAATCTATTTTCATAGTCTCTAAGCTTTCTTTTTAATCCATACCTATAGGAAATTGATTTTAGAAATCTTTTTTGTACTCTCTCAAGATTATCTCGATGTACCTTATAGTAAGGAAATGTAAAGAAACCAAATTTCATAGAAAAGAAAAGAAACAGTTTTTTTCTGTATGAATAAAAAAAAAACTATCACGTCAATTTTACGTCCTCTTTGACATCTTTTTACGACAAAATATCATTACATTTTACTGTAAAATAGTAATAGATATTCCAGCCTTATGTTCATAAGGCTCTCATCTTGCTTTTTTCTATTATAATCAAATTGTAACTATACAATATCTGTACATGGCAGATGTTTAAGAAAAAATAATGTATGGGATTTTAAGAAGAGAAACCAAAACAATAATTTTTAAAAGTTTTGTCTCTCTATCTGTTTGTCTTTATGTTTGTTCCGAAATCACATGAAAACTATTACACCAAATTATGCGAGAGTTTTACAGTTGAGTTCTTTAAGGTCAAACTTAAAATGTGGCACGTTTATTTATTTATTTATGTTTTGGTACATACCATTTTTATAAAAAAATATTTTGATATTACCACTACGAAAAGGCTAACTAATAAAAATACCAAGAAAAAAACGTTATTAAGTTAGATACATTTGTTCTAATGTTTATAGCTTGTTTATTTATAAGTTTTTTTTTTATGAGCGATAACGGAATGGCGATCCTCGCCTGCGCTAACGGTATACGCTGGCGAGTTATCAGTAAGGGATGATAGGTGAGAATGAAAAAGTAGGTCAGTTAGCCCATCGCGATGAATACATATGGAATTCAGCACATTGTTTTCCAGGGAAAACCACGTGGAGGTCGACCTGACTGGATATATTGATAGAAATGGGACTGGTAGCCCCCATTACTAACAATCCATAACAACAATTAGTCCATTACCTTAAGGTTGTCTTGAAAAGATTGCTCTCAGCAATAAGACCGCCTTACTGTACTTATACAATCGTATCGTTATGTTTGTAAATTGTCTTGTTTATTTCCTATATTGTATAATGCAAATAAAGTATACTCATTCATTCATTCATTCAATCCTTTCCTCCCCAGCCTATTTTATTGGTTTTAAAATTGACTCGTACGAAGTAACGGATGAAATGCATAACTACGTATATATTTATATCGTCATAGACAAATAGATAGATAGATAGATAGATAATTTATTTACATTACTTACAGCACATAAATTACAATAAAAAAAAACATACACATAATACACAGTAAAAGAGATAAAAGAATGAAAATAAAAAAGCAACAAAACAAAAAAAAAAAAACAAAAATACAAAATATATAAACTAACAATCTCCTTTCATTCCCTTCCTTCATGCGTGTGCCATAGTAACACAAAATGGTCACAACTCAGTTTATTGCTTTGCCCTTAAAAGAGCAAAACACTGATATTCTGTTGTGGCCAAGAGTCAGTCGCGAAACTCCTCATTAAAAATAACAACAAAAAGAAATATAAATAAACTGCATTGTATGTGTCCATTACATTCGCCTCCATTTGATATTATATTCTAAATAAATAAATACATAACAGATACCATTAGACGAGGGGTAGTCAGAGATCACTTTTTGTCACATTCAGTTATTCAGGCAATAAATATTTCCGCTACGTACCTATTGGGTATGCCAATTTTTTGTTTATTAATAAAAAAAAAAATTAAGTTCTTTTTTAAAAATGTGTTTAGTTTTAGACATAGTCGTAGAATACTGACGGATCTTTATATGTAATATTTGTCAGATCCGTCAGTATTCTACGACTATTACAGTATTTTACTAGAGGGAGACTTTGTACAAAAGTCGATTGCTTGGGTATCTCTGTCCCATTCGTGTTTCAACTGTAAAGCAGTTGTGTTTGCATAGCTGTGTTTCGGTTTGAAGGGTGGGATATGGCGTGAATTTACTGGGTACGGAGGAATGACACCTGAGTCCTCAGGAATGGCAACGCACGGGGGGTATCATGGGCGAAACAGTGTACTCTGTTATGTCCATGGTACTGCTCATGTGTATAGGCGACGGTTACCGCTTTCCATCAGGTGGGCCGTCAGCTTGTTTGCCATTCTAAGTGGTATAAAAAAAAAAAGACTATGGCGATATATCATGAGTGTCACTTTGTTAGTTGGTAACAAATAATTAAATAAATTAGTAAGACAGTTAAGACACAATAATAATAATGTGAAAGTAAGAATAAAACGTTTTCTTCAAAAGTACACATCAAAATCGTGACGAAATATACGTTACAACGTATAATTATTGACGGACGATATAAGTACTGTTCGGTTATTTATATTTTATTTCACAAATTTTATATAATATAGAAAATGTACCGGCCAACTGGCGGCCAATGGGCCTTTTGACCTGCGAGTACTAGTTGTCCATTATAATTATTATACTGTTATATAATTCTATACATGTATTTAACCTACATAATGCCATTAAAATTTACTGTGTGAATTGGCGACGTTCTCCAACTTGTGAGGTTTACCTCAGACACTCAGCGCTCGGTAAATTCTTTTCTCTACAAATGAATCCGGGATGTGGATTATATTTTATATTGTGGTCGACATAATAAGCTGTTTCAATTGTGATACAATTAATACGGTGTGAACAATGAAATAAACTGTGTCGACTGCAAAAGGTATTGTCGAAATTAATTCAGAATTTGCGGAGATATAACGATAAAAAAACCACATGGAGGTCGACCTGACAGGGTATATTGCTAGCAATGGGATTGGTATTCCTCGTTACTAACAATTCCTTTCCCCCTCACTCTCCTATTATGTATGTACATATTAAAATGATATAATAAAATATTTTGTTTCTAATGCACATGCAATAATTTCCTAACATACTCATAATTATCATAAAAGATTTATAAATTATGTGCAATTTGTAAATCACACATATTTATGTAACTTTTTTGTAATATTTTTGCCATTATTTATACAACACACGCACACACACACACACACACACACACACACACACACACACACACACACACACATATATATATATATATATATATATATATATATATATATATATATATATATATATATATATATATATATATATATATATATATATATATATATATATATATATATATATAATACTATCTTTGCCGTTCTTGGGATCTTGGGAGTACTTACTACGTTTTATTTCGCTTAAATAAGACCCCAGACTCGGTATATGTGACTTCAAAAGGACGTTCAAAGAGTAATGTACTATTTATTTTGTTAATAATTGTATTTCTCATGACACGACCATTTCTTCAAACGACAGATTTAAACGAAAGGTCTGTCAGGCTCTTCCGCACTTCTGTATTAGAAATGCAATCTGCCATATGTTTTTCTCAAAAAGCACATATTTTTATCATACTCGTAGCTATACAATAAAAAAAAAAATGGTCAAAAATGTTCGAAAAGTATTAATAAAAGTTGCGTTCCAAAAAAAAAACCTATTTAAATTTTGCCAAAACTAGTTAT